GTTTCTATTACAACGCCGACCGTGTGCTACAGATTAGAACATTTCAATTGAATGAGACTGTAGTTAAAAATAATTTTAATTTCAAAAGTAATCCCTTGACATTGTGTTTATCTCATGTGCATATGAAAAAATATTATGGAATTAAATTTTAAGTAAATTGCAATTGTTAGACGTTTTGAAAACTTTTAGTAAAATGATCAATCTAATTATTTATGGCAAATACTCTATTACGATTAAATACGTTTAAAAACTTATGATATAAACTCATCAACATATTAAAAATACTTGTTAAGAACTAAATGATGAAATCTTTGCCATTAGTGCCAAACCATAGGCTAATCAGTCCTCCAATATCTGACAGAGTGCTCGTCACTGACAGATCCGGTTCCTCCCGATAGACATACTCGGGTTGAGTCGTATCCCAAACCAACGCCATCTCTGTAAAAGCATTTTCATAGCTAACGTTACGCCAGAATTCGTTTCCAATGAGTGTATCGCTCGACACGACCCGCGCGTTGTACTCAACGCTCACACAATCTTTGGGACAATATTTCATCCACTTTTCGCTAACAAAAGCCATACCCTCTAATTGATCCCGATTATAGCAACCATGGGCACAAAATGTTGTGTTAAAATTAGTCTCAAAATCTAATTCATTTAAATAATTGTCGACAACAAGGTCGCTACAATTGTGTACACTATTGGCGTAATACCGTTGACACCGACGCATACAATGCTCGTGTGATATGGCGTTAAACGGTTCGCCGCCACCGGTAGTCAACCCATCGTAATGACTACAGTTCCCATGGGGTGTCGTTAGAAAGGTTTTTAATGTTTTGCTGACAATAACCGTGTAATTGTAGCCGGAGAATGCGATCCTATCACTGGCTAATTGATTGTCGTTAGGTATGACCTGTGAATGTAAAACAATATTCTCTATCCATTTATTTCTATCTTTCAATGGATTTATTAGTTTTAAAAAGGGATTACTTTTGAAATTAAAATTATTTTTAACTACAGTCTCATTCAATTGAAATGTTCTAATCTGTAGCACACGGTCGGCGTTGTAATAGAAACTATCGTACGATTGTAAATCACTAAGGCTAATGTTTTTATATGAATTATATGAAATGGTACTGCCCTATACCTACCTGCCCTTTGGTGCCGGCCCTCGCAATTGCATTGGTATGCGGTTCTCGTTGCTTGAGATTAAGCTAGGGTTGGCCCATATGATTAAGAACTACCGGTTCTCGATATGTCCGGAAACGGACGTCCCGGTGCAGTATAAACGTATGTTACGTATAGGCGCCCCTAAGCGTATGAATGTACGTGTTGAGAAACGTGTGTAATCTAAAACAACGATATTTGGCAAAGATCATTTATTGTAATTGCCTATTGTTTCAGTATAATCAAGTTATCAATTGTGATTATTGTTAAATAATCACTTGATATTTAATTACAATATAATAGTACACTAGGTTATAAGTAGATTTATAAATAGTTTACTTAAAATGTAATTTTAATTTATATTCAATAATATTTAATATTCAATTAAAATATTTTACTTGGTTAACGCTAGTTTATTAACTATAACACTTTTAATTACTTATATTTGCTTTTGAAATATTAAATTATAATTAAACTTAATACAAATCAACATTTTAATTCTTCAATATTAATATTTAATTAATTTTAACCGGATTAAATAATGTAAATGTACCCTCGATTATAATAAACCTATTCATTACAAAAAAACTATATACTGGTTTATATTTAGTCCAGTGCAAATATATTTACATACAAACACTATTAAGGTAGCCACCATCGACCAACTTACACGCGCCAGTTATAAAAGTAGCATGCTCACTGGCCAAGTGGACTACGGCATTAGCCACGTCCGATGGTTCACCGATACGACCAATCGGGTACTTAACGACCAAACGTTGCTTAAATGCCTTGAGCTCGTCCCCGGTCATATTACTTAATGTCTCAAAAGCGGGTGTATGAATTAGACCAAGGCTATTTTTGAAAGTTATATATGCTCAAGATTAATTATAGTATATTACAATAGTTTTTTGTGTGTACATTAGCTTGCTAAATTTTAAGTGTAAATAATATAAAACTTTTTTAATAAATATAACAAACTTGCTCTAATATTTATTTATTAAACATACCATACTGCATTGACCCGGATCTTTTTGGGTGCCAACTCCACTGCCATACATTTAGTGAACATATTAATGGCACACTTTGACATACTATAAGACGAGATACCTACACCCTGATAAATAAATCATTAATACGATACTATAATGGATTACTATCGGATAACATGTAAATAAGTTAATACCGGTTTAATGGCCCCAACACTCGATATGCTAATTATATTGCCATTAGTTTTTGCCAAATGTTTGACCGCTAACTGTGTCAACAGTATGACTGCATTGAGATTCACGTCAAACATAGCCTTTTGCTTCTCAATATAATCCGGGTCCATTATATTAGCCATAACCATATACCCGGCGCAGTTGACCAATACGTCTAACTGTCCGTAGGCTTCAATAGTGGTGTCAATGACTTTCCTGACGTCGGACTCGCGACGGAAGTCTACCACGACTTCGAGTGCCGACAAACCCGACGGCGAGACTCGCGCGCACTCGTCGGCCACTGAACGCACTTCAGCGCCGTCCAGACCGCTCACCACAACGCGAGCACCGCTTCTGGCCATAAGTATGGCTATTGAGGCGCCGATACCTGAACTCGAGCCCGTGATTAGGGCTACCTTTTCCTTAAAGTTATAACTTATAGACATCTTATAAAAAATTTAATATTTTATGTTTAAAACTAAGTTTATATAATATTAGATAATAAAGTTGTTATTTTGTTTGAATATTAAATAACTTTT